GGTTGGATACATCCGGGTTCAGGTTTACAACCGTTCGTTGTAGGTAGACTGATACAATGTCCATATGGTTCATTCTTGTCTAGGTTTCACTAATACTATATCACGTACGCAATCTTTAGTACTTGAGTTGATTAAAATCACTGTCCATGACACGTATTTTTAAGTAGTCGCTATTCGTTGTGCAGAATGGGTTCGATTACCAGATTCTACCTGATACTTGATTCTGATTCCTATGTTAGTGGAAACGGTCCAGCATTCCTCTCACTCGAAGCTGATAGGACTTTGATGCAGTGTATGGCTGGGATAACGTTTGCTTCAAAATTGAACTTGAAAGAGTCTTTTGTAACATTTTGAATATATTAAAATATACATCGTTTTTCAAAAGTTATATGAAATTAAATTATTATGCTCCATGAATACGAGTGAGTGAGTAAGGTTTTACGCCGCTTTTAGCATCAATCTCACGGCGAGGGACACTGGAAAATGGGCTTCACACATTATACCCATGTGAGGAATCGAACCCGGGTCTCGGCGCGACGAGCCAACAAGGCAGGGCAGGACAACTTAGGAATGGCCAGGAGTCCGAACTTGACCACACAGAAGGAAGCGAGCTACAAAAACATGTTTTATATCATTGGAAAGCTCTCGAGGAGTCGAATCCAAATAATGTGTGTCCCAGTGTGTTCACATGTTCACAAGCTCAAAAATTGGCTCAGAAAATGCATTACTGCAGAAATTTCTGGCCGAATTTTTTTTTTCTGCAGAAATTTCTGGCAGTATTTTTTTTTTCTACAGAAATTTCTGGCCGAATTTTTTTTTCTACAGAAATTTCTGGCAGAATTTTTTTCTGCAGTAATATCAACCATCAATCTTTGGAGAGTTTAAATTGAATTAAGCAATTGCAGATATTTATCTTGGTATTATATTTACCAAATTTATCAAGAAAAGTTGACGTCACTCGAATTAAGTGTCAGTTTTGTCCGACAAGGAGCGAGTTTACTTTTTTTAGACACAGACTTTGTAACAGGCTCTTCCCCTGGAAACACATATATTGTAAATAAATATTTTGCCGTTTCCATCAACCTTATCACGTGATGTTCTATAACTGTTGTCTTGTACACTATCCATAGTGTAAGTCAGCTGGCTCGAGGAATGTTCATAAAGTATTATCATTAAACAAAATACCCTATGCAACAGTTATGTTGCTACCCAGACAAAACTATTTTTATATTCTATATTAAATGTAAACGATCAGTTTTTATTATAAATACAAAACCACCTTTTAAGCGGTAATACCTGTCACGCATTAAATAACATATATGAACAACCATGTGATTATAAAGTCTCACGTTGGTTCCTCCGTGCAACTTCATGCCTGACTTACATTCAACAGACTTAGATTCAAGTTGAAGTGTTTAGATGTTTTCATAGAGCTGTCACAGCCGAACCAGATTCAATAATAGGTATTATTCACAGGTGGTCAGTAAGGCGGAAATCATCATGGGACTACAGGGTTATGGTCATGGTTAAAAAGCTTGCTATCACCAATAGAGGCCAGACTGTATATGATTACTGTAATAACACAAGCCGGCCAGTGTTCCTTGATCAAGCATTGCAGGAGCTGGATAAGAAAGACAGAGAGAAGTGGTATTCAGATCTATTTAATGATAAAAATAATTCAAATGGAAACAAGTTAAGAACTTATAGATTATTTCAACAAGACATTGAAACATGCCATTATGTTAAAATGTCTCTACCAAGGCAATATAGAAGTGTATTAGCATCATTGCGTTGTGGTAACCTGCCAATTAATATAGAATGTGGAAGATATACCAAGCCCATCACTCCTCTTTCAGAAAGACTATGTACTCTCTGTGACAAGCAAGCCATAGAGGATGAATTTCATTTTGTTGTAGAATGCAACTTCTATAAAGATATCAGACTATCTATATTTAACACAGCTAAAATACAAGAAACAAATTTCACTGAATTTTCAAATTTTGAAAAGTTTCTGTGGCTTCTTAAAAATGACAACATTCAGTACCAGTTATCTAAATGTTTGCACACTGTGTACAGCAAAAGGCGTTTGTGCTTATCCAAACTACTATAATTTAAAAATATCTGTTTTTAGTGAACAATATCCTTAGGTATAATTCTATGTTCATATGTTGTACATTATCGGTGAAAGAATGTGATTAAGCAGATTAGTAGTTTGTGCTTATCCAAACTACCATAATATAATAATATCTTTTTTTAGTGAACAATATCCTTAGGTATAATTCTATGTTCATATGTTGTACATTACCGGTGCGAGAATGTGATTAAGCAGATTAGTAGTTTGTGCTTATCCAAACTACCATAATATAATAATATCTGTTTTTAGTGAACAATATCCTTATGTATAATTCTGTGTTCATATGTTGTATATTATTTGGGAGAGAAGGTGACTAAGTAGAAATTTTGAAATACGACAGACTGACCAAGGGGATTGGGGACAAACAGAATGACTGGATTAAAGTATATGCATGACTGTGTGACATGGTGTGACTTGGGGCGTGTATGGGTGTGTGCTAGGAAGGGTGGGCAGATTGAATACAGAATGGTTGATTGACACGGTTGAACTTGTGCATGATTGAATGTGTGGGGGTCATATTCAATAATGCGTGTAATTGAGTGACCGAGTTGGATTTCTGTGACTCGCTGACCTGGGACATGTATAATGGGGGGGGGGGGGGGGGGGGGGGGGGGGAGGGGGGGGAGGGTGTGTGTTTGTGTGTGCTAAGGTGTGTGAACTGGTGACTAGGTTGATCTTGCATGAGAGTATATGTCCGTGTGTCTGTGGAGTGGGGCGGGGGGAATGGGGGAGGGGTGGTGGGTGGGTGGGGTTTGCTGTATACATATGAAGATATTGTTAGTTATAATATTTTATTTATGTATTTTATTGATTGTATAATTTTAGGTGTCTTTTAGGCCAGTAATGGCCAGGTGTATTATGTACACATGACACATTAATAAACTATATTCTTCTTCTTATTATTATTGTTCTTTCACCACACTTACGCTTCTCCAAATTTAGAACAGAACAGAAGTTTATTGCTCGTAAGAAAATCACACAGAGTGATTACAGAGCATACATGAGGTTGAATATATACACAACCACACCAACAATAATATATAATAATATATACATACATGAATACATACATGCACCCATAATGCATTTATATAATACATATATGATCTGCATAACTACACACGTGAACACATAAAATATACACATATATTATATTGTAGAGTGAAATTCACAAATTTTAACGTCGCGAGGGCAATTTTCCAGCCATAGATCGACGATCCTATGATATTTAATTATGTAAATAATGTTAAACCTTTTTTACAGAACTGAGCCAGTTTTACTAGAATGGGTTTGTATGAACATTTCATTAATTGATTGTATTTTAGAGTGGAGGGATATTTAGTATAGTAGGCCGGAAGGTATTGTTTTCGAAGGTCATTTAGTCTTGGACATACTTATAGAAAGTGAAATTCATCTCCTATTTGGTCGTTACATAAAGTGCAAGTTCTCTCAGTACTCTGTGTGTTAAACCATCTGCCTTTCTCAATTGGTAGTCTATGATTTGTTGTTCTCAGTTTAAGAATCCAGATTGCTTGTTTCAATGGGAGAGATAATAGATACTCATCAAACTGTGGTTTGTCTTTTAGCATTGTTTAATATTTGCCTTTAGATGAAGAACACGCCTTGACATTCCAGCTTTGATAGAAGTTGTCTATTAAGGTTTGTTTAACGTTAGTTTTAAGCCAAGAGAGATTTGGAAAAGAGTTAGTATCAAAGACAAAATTCAAACCAGTTTCATATAAAATATTTTTAATTGAGGTGAGCCATGGAAATGCAGTATTGCTAGTCATTGTGATTTTATGAATTAGCAGGTAGATGCGGCTAGATAGTTTATTAGGCGATACAATTAGTTTGCTCCAAAAAGATATCATTCTTATTTTTATCTGAATCGTTAATGGATGTCTACCTAATTCACCATATACTAGAAAATCGGGTGTTGACTGTTTTAATCTGAGGATAGATTTACAGAACTTAAGGTGAATTCTTTCAATTGTCCTTACATTTTCATACCCCCATACTTCTGAAGAATAAAGAAGTATCGGTTGAATCAAATTGTCGAACAGTTTAAGTTGGCAATCTAAAGGAATGTCTAGTGTTCTTATTCTTCTAAATATGCTGTACATTGCTTTTGATGCTTGCTCACTTAACTTTTTGATAGCTTTGTGGAAACGACCAGTGCTTGTAAATAAGATTCCTAAATATGAAAACTCTTTAACAATTTCCAAGGGTGTGTTACGAAATATAAAGTTTAGATTTTTAGAGTGGGAGCGTTTCTCAAATATGAGAATTTTAGTTTTGCTGATGTTAACCTCCAATTTCCATTGATGGCAGTATTTTTCAAAAATATTCAGAGCTTTTTGTGAGTCATCTGGTGATTCAGCTAATAATACTGTGTCATCAGCATATAGTAAGATTAGTAGTTTAACGTAAGTATTTAACTGATTGCTGAACTCGTCACTTACTAGCTGCAGTCCTTGGAATTTATTTTCTGCTAGAAATGCTTCTAAGTCATTTAGGTAAATAGAGAATAAGAATGGAGATAAATTTTCACCCTGTCTGACTCCTATCATGCTTGGGAAAAAAGATGAAATTTTTCCATTAAGAGAAACACACGACTTAATTCCTTTATACATATTATGAATTACACGAAAACATTTTCCTTCAAGATTAGATTTTAACATTTTAAGCCACAAGCTGCATCTGTCTATAGTATCAAATGCCTTACTGAAGTGTACAAATGCACAGAACAGTTTTTTGTTTTCGGCTAAATATATGTCTATTAGCGATTTTAAAATAAATATGTTATCCATTGTAGAATGATTGTTTCTGAAGCCTGACTGGTTGTCATTATGCACCTTAATTGAATCAGCGAACATTTGTAAGCGACACGAAATAATTGAGGTGAAAAGCTTGCCAAGAAGCTGTGTACACAGTGTTCTTGCGAGTTACAATTACGCGTCCGGTTTGGCGGCAACTTCAAAGAGTGGACATATGGTTGCTCCTTCAGGTAGCTATAATTACCCTCTCTATAATGCAATATCGTATTATCCATTTGTAATGAATGATAGTAACACTTAATCGGATTGGATTCAGTTAAATCTACATTTCTCAAGGTCTCTAACATCGAGATTTGAAATATCTTTCATGTAAATACCTTCTTTGTCATGTGACTTGTATATAATCATGTATATTCAGAATCGTACCTTCGCACAATGTCTTTGCACAATGGCACAAGCAACGTGTTCTCTTTCTGTAAAAAATAGCACTCTTTATTTCAGCCACAGCAAAGATCCCGAACCACGTGCAGTCAGCAGAGTTACAGCGTCTGGTTACCGTCTTGCAGTTACGATACAGGTAAGACGTCAAAATATTTATTGTCTTATTTCTGGAAACGCCGACCCTAGAACGTGGAATTTTGGTAACACGGTTATTTCATATAACAACCAAATAACAACCTGTACTCCAAACAGTGAATGTGTGGCTTTGCTACCATGCGAAACGCGTTTTGTAAGAGTCTAATTTTCTACCACTTTTGATAAAAAAATACGCAAACAAACTTATCTGAAAAGGAGATATCTCCATCCCCTGTTGTGGCATTGCGACTTGTATACTGTCTACATGTACATTAGGCAACTTATTGTAGCTGTATGGCGACACTTGTAGTGTAGCTATGTGGCCATGAAGCTATGTGATCAGTGAAAGTAAAAACACGGAAAATTAAAAAATACCAATCCATGCAGTATTTTGATAATTTACATGCGAGTTTTCTATCATTTATAACGTTAGAAATATTTACATAAAAATAACTTTAACTTTAATAGACCCAATGTTTATTAATATAACAAATTGTTGTATTAATGTTTTCCTAAAATAAACATATATATCATCTTCTCTTATTGCCCCATCAAAGCTGGTGCTGAGATAATTTAGAATACCCAAACGACGCATATTGTACGGGCCGTGCCGCCAGACTTCCTGCCAACTTGGCAATTAAATATCCTCGGGTATTGTCACTTCATACGGTGATACATAGTCTCGCGCACGTGGTCGGTGGGTATTGTCTATCAGCGCCACGATCACGTGATCGTTTTGTTAATTACACTGTGTTACGGTCTCGCCGATCTTAAACTTTCAAAGCCTTCAACAAAATTTATGAGATCATTATCTTATCTTTATTCCGACTGAATCATCCTTTATTTCAGACGCCCCCTCACACACACACTCCCAATGCAAAGTCACTGAGGCTTGACCGTTACCAATTAACAGCTGTCAATTAAACAGTTCGCATCTAAGTAGTATGTTATCGAATATATTGAAAACCGTGAGCGTGCTACTTTTTTGGGGGGTGTGGGGGGGGGGGGGGGGGGGGGGTTAAGGAGGGTGTTGGTTGTTCACAAGGTCACTCGACAAACAGAATGTATACGGGTATTTCAATAATTGTATGATATATTTAGTCCTTGGGCAGCCCCAATCTCAAAACAACAATAAAATCCTAATTCTCACCGACTCCCTTAGTGGACTAAAAGCCCTCCAAAACAAAATTACCCAAAACGACCTAAATTAATAAACCAAACACTTAAAAGCTCCGACGACCTAACAAAAGCAGGCAAACAAATAACCTTCTTGTGGATCCCCGCCCACGTAGGAATTTACGGCAACGAAAGCGCCGATAAAGCAGCTAAATTATCTCTCAAAATACCAGTAATAAGCCTAAACCTACCCATCTCAAAAGCAGAAATTAAAAGTGTAAACAAACAAAGAATAACCAAAAAATGGCATAATCAATATCAAAACTCAAATAGCCAAATCAAAAAAGTGCTCAGAAAACCACTAGCCAAACCTAAAATCCTACACCCCTCTAAAAAAATTGACAGATTTATTACAAAACTCCAAACAGGACACACGAACCTAAATAACCACCTAAAAAAACTTAAAAGACACACCACAGGCAACTGCCCCAAATGCAAACAACCCGAAACCACAGAACACGCACTCATCCACTGCACCCACTACCAAACACACAGAACCACACTACAAACCACCCTCAATCTAAATAAGGTTCCTACTCTAGATGAAATACTAAACCCTCAAAATAAACTAGAAAACTTCAAGGCCCTAGGCGTATTCCTAATCAAAACAGACCTAATTAAGCGCATCTAAAAACTAATTAATGTACCAATCCAAAATCCAATAAACATACAAACACCCACCTCACCCGGCTCCCTTAGTTCCCTCCTCCACCCACCTCGGCATTTATTCCAAATTTAAAAATTCCAAAACTTCAATATAAGCAACCCCTAAAAGCCCCTCTTGGGTTGCACACATCACTTTCACCCTTTTCGGAATACACTAAATGGTCCGGCCAGACCCGTGTGCGAAATACGCTACAGTCGGAAAGCGCACGTTAAATCTTCTATATCAGTCAGTCAGACCCCAGTGTTTCATATCATTTTCCCACCAAACTAAAAAAGAATAACCCCCAACTGGATATGTCAAGCGAACTAATTGTCGTTTCGTCTGTCGATTCATATTTTGGAAATTCAAGGGGAACCACTCCAGCTTATGCAGCACACACATTTGGGAAGGTTGCTTCATTAATAATAATACTTCTTACCATGGTTTCACAGTCGTTCGGAACTTTTTTAAGATCTGACACCAGATTATGCTGTCCGAAAATTTATGTATTTTTTTTTAGTGGAGACATAGACTAGGCTAGCTTTACACTAAGTCTTGTATCAGGCTGCCCCCTCTGGGTAGTAGGTCTGGTCTCTCCTTTGTCCTTGGACCCCCTTTCCGATCATAAGGGTTGAGTATCTCTTGCCAATGAAACACGTGTTTACCATCCTTTTTACCTTAGAGCACCCATTTACGACACATGGGGTTAGTTTTGAGTTCGGTTATGGTTTAGAAGTCTCTTGATATAAACATATTTATTTCCATAAAGTGGAGGGATTGGCAAACAAGCAAATTTTGCTTATCTGAATGCCTCTCCCAAACATGATACATAAGTCTCTTTTAACGAATTAATCCAATGTAATTTTCGCAGTATACTCATCCTTATATAAATTTCAGCTTCATGACAGTGTGAACATTGAGTGCCCCCTACACAAGTATGCAGTCACTGACAACTTATGGAGTGACCTGTACAAAACGGAAGATGCAGACGACTAGTACAAGCACACACACACACACACACACACACACACACACACACACACACTCACGCACGCACGCACATCGCTATATAAGTGCAATTATCTTGGACGCGACATTCAACCCAATTTCAACTCACCTCACTTATCTTACTTTGTTCATGTGTCTAAAGCTTGTGGAATGTGTTAATTACTGAAATGAAAAGCATTTTAATGGGTTTTTTCCTATCTTTTCAGAATATGTGCACATAGCTTTCAATGACCAGACGCAAAAAAGGATTCATTTCAAGTATGTTGAGAAGAAAACGTAAGTAAAGCACAATATTTACATTTATAATACATTTTATTCCGCAGGCTCTATTGTAAAGTTAAACTCTAGCTGCGTATAGGCTGCTATTATCCATTATATTAGACACTATGGATCCACTCATCTATACATCTATTTTCTTTTGTGACAGGACCCATCACTGAAAAAATCATCTCACCCAAGAAATGAGAATGAAAAGTGCAAAGTCTCCCAAGGAATTGTCTTGTAATAAAGCATGTGAATAAATAATTTTTTGAAATATCTCACGAAATTAGTTTTATTTTTTTGCTTGAAATCATGTGAACTAAAAATGTTTGTTTTGAGGAAAAAGGTCATTTGAAGCAACTCCAGGTTAAACTATCCAATGATTGAATCTTATTTCTCCTGAATTAAAATAATTCTGCTAAATATTACTGCAGAAAAAAATTCTGCCAGAAATTTCTGTAGAAAAAAAATAATTCTGCCAGAAATTTCTGTAGAAAAATAAAAATACTGCCAGAAATTTCTGCAGAAAAAAAAAATTCGGCCAGAAATTTCTGCAGTAATGCATTTTCTGAGCCAATTTTTGAGCTTATGAACATGTGAACACACTGGGACACACATTATTTGGATTCGTCTCCTCGAGAGCTTTCCAATGATATAAAACATGTTTTTGTAGCTCGCTTCCTTCTGTGTGGTAAAGTTCGGACTCCTGGCCATTCCTAAGTTGTCCCGCCCTGCCTTCAACGCTTTAACCACTAGGCTGCCCCACTGCCCCCAATGAATACTCGAAGCCGTATGCATGTGGTAGCCTTATTGCAAATCAAACTATTACTGTTGCTTTCAAATAATTGGTAAGAGTATTTCGAAGGTTTGAAAGCAAATAACTAAATGTTGCTTGAAAATTCTGAACAGAAGACACAGATTTTCTTTTTTTTTAGATGTTGTTAACTTTAGAATTTGAAATCATGTGAGGGCTTTGACGTATTGGAATGGAAAAAAGATTATCACTATTATTCTGGATTATATCATTTTGTGACAAATAAAATCGCAGTTATCAAATCTAACGTATAGGCGGTACTTACTGGCACGCGAACACCTGGAACACATCGAACACATGGAAAGCAAAAAAACACATTCGAAGACAAAAAAGGAGAGATAAGTTTGAGGGACCTCTACAATAATATGTGTTTCTCTCCACGATCCGACCGCCTCCGTGGTCTTGTGGTAGACCGTCCGCCCGGAGAGCGGAAAGTCCGGGGTTCGATCCCCGGCCGCGTCATACATGATACTTGTTGTTACCCTGTCTGGCGTTCGGCATTAAGGGGCCATAACAAGAACTGGTCGGCTCGGAGTCAGTATACCGTGTCTGAGTGGGGTATTCATGTTAAACTGCGGCATGGTATCTCAGTGTGCTAGCACTATAAATCGGCATCAGTCGGACTAGTACAAGCAGCCACACACACACACGTGCATGCACGTTGCTAATATAAGTGCAATAATCTTGGACGCGACGTTAAATCCCATTTCACCTCACCTCTCCACGATCCACTCTGTGTGACACATTTGATGGTTTCAACATATTTTTTCTGACATCAAAATTGTTGTGCATATAAGTACACGAGTACTCAAAGGCAAGACTTACAGTGATCACGTTCATATTTATAATTTTGAGGTTTTGATGGAGCACACTTATTTCACTATTCTTTTTCTTGAAGGTTTAAAGGCTACTCGTGTTCAGGTTGGTAATCGTGGAGATTCCGGGTAAGTATTGTTCCCGGTTGTATCAAACTTTAATGATGCATTAACGTGTCATTAAACCTTCATTAACTAATGCATCATTAAATCCAGTTGTACTAACGTTTTAATGACGTCGTGGTGTCATTAGCGCGTCATTAAATTAATGAAGGTTCTGGGGCATCATTAGCGTGTCATTAAAAACAAACATGGCCGCGAACATATTGTTTGAACGCTTAGGACGCACAAGGAAAGACCGTGTTTTCAGAAAACGAACTCAACACCTCGAATCCATGAGCGATGAAGAAGTAAGGGCACGCTACCGTTTTGGGAAGGCAAGCATCAGATATATCTGCGATCTTGTGAGAGATGAATTACAGCCCAAATCTGCAAGATCGCACGCACTTAGTGTTGAACTACAGGTAAATGTCGTCACTAGAAACTCAGCTAGTTTGAAATAAACATATTATTATAGCGCCAAATTTATAGCGGCAATCTTTACAATGAATGAAACGCACTTCTACGTGGGTCAGCTCACTGGTCTGTGTTGGTAAAGTCTTATGTGCAGCCTAATGATACCAACCTTGTAAATATATTTCACAATTGAAAGTAATGTAAATTCATGGATCCCTTTCACTTCACTCCAGAAAGATACGTTTTCAACTTGGCGTTGTCAGCCATGATCAATTTCATAAGGGGGAGTTACTCTAATGACTTAAACTAAATGTGTCGTGCACACTGAAGAGAACAGTTTTGCGTGTTCGATTCCGGCCAAAAGAACCTTTTAATTAATTAAAGCATGCACATCTTATATAGTAAGAGGCCACCAAATAGATCAAGCAGGTGGAGGAATTTGCTGATATCGTGTCATCGTACCCCGATAGCGGGGATCGTTGCTCACAATATCGATCACTGGATTGTGTGGTCGAGACTCGCTTATGTTTTAGCCGCCGTGATAAGGATGGAATATTGCTGAGTTCGCCGTTAAACAACAAACAAACAAATCAATTAGGGTTGCAGTTTGACTTCATAGGTTTTATTCCAAATATCAATTTGACATTTATAATTAGTTGATCGGGTGATCAGTCTCCATTATTTGTTTCATCATCACCGAGGCGTGAATCGTTTCTCATAATATATACAGACCGTCATATAATATAGCTGTAATAATGCCGAGTGTGGCGTTAAACCATCAATACGCAAACAAACAAACCAAGAATAGGTTTAATATTTGTAAAGTTATGGGGAATTTCAACAAAATTAGACCGGACTGGAAAAAGGAGAAACTTACTTTGCTTGATTCCTTGATATACTAGTTGAGACATTTGAGCCAAGTGGTTATTGTATCATTGTCGGTTGAAATTGAAATTACATATATGTAATACATCACGAAATAATTTGAAGAGAGCTAAAATCCCAGCGTCCCCTGTCAGCAGCTCGGATGAAACATACAGGGGACCATGCAAGGCATCAGTGAACCTTTCAAAAAGTTTAATGTGGAGGACATTTCCATATTTGACGCATCACTGACCACAATGTTGTGCGATACAATTCCCTATTTTGACTTGTATCATATTGTTCCATGTTGATGAACAATTGATTTGCCTTTGCATGTGTTTGTGACTAGTGCCATCAGCGGGTCAGGATACGCTCACCTTACGCGAAACCAGGGTATCATCACTATCAGATAGTGATTCATAAACATATGCTCATGATATAGCGGCTATCGTACAAAGGACTCAAAGGAGATTTCTTTGGAATATGGAACGGGTTTTGTCGCTTTTATTTTATCAGTTTAAGCTCAAGCGGACAGATGTAAACATGTATATAATGCAAATCTGATTTAAATCAGAGGTGTTATTATGATTATGCTTAAAATAAATGTGGTTGTTACTGCATCACATGTTGTTGTTTTTTGAAAATGATGGAATTGTGTATTAATGTCCGGTGGTAATATGTCGTGCTTAACACTGAAACATATCGTACTGCTTACTCGTAATCTGCCAGACAGAACACATATCAGCCGTGCACTGAACTACAGCTAAAGCTCGTCATGTAGGTTAATTCCTCTCCATTATTACAAATTGTAAAGTGGGATATTACTTAAATGTAATTATTAAAAGAATGTTTCTTTTCTTCAACTGTATACCAATTGCAATATATACCTTGTCTCGAAACCCTGACAATATGATATGCATACCACTCAAAAGAGATTAAAGAGCATAGGGCATGACAGTGTAACTAGTAGTATTGAAGAACCGAATGTTCTTTTACTTGTTTTGAGTAGTATATATTTGATTATCTCAGGAACGGGATTCAGTAACACTTGAAATCAGTATTATTTTAATACACCAAACAAACGTATTGATCCCATTGTCAGTCAATGAAAACAAATCAGCTGTCCCAAATACATTTTCGAATTTTGCTGTGTTTCTCTTGAACCAAACATTATCATGTCAGTCGTAGAATGGTTATCGATTAGTAGCGACTCAACCATGCTTTTTCAAGGTAGGGAATAAACATAGACACGCTGGCAAATATTTTACTTCCACGCAAATGCGTACCTCCTTGATACAGTGTGACACACTGTAGCACTTAGGGCCTTCTTGCTTCTTCAATCTGATCCATGGTAACGACTCTAAGTCAATGAAATCCGTTGACTAAAAGCTTGCCTAAGCTGGCCAACACTTTCATATTAGCACTGGTGTTTGTCTAGACGTCGGAGAGGCTTTCCTTGATTATGAGAGAATGATATGAGGCTATACATAGCCGTTAATGGAATAGTGTAAGAAAGGCTGTGGGATATATCCATGATGTGTTCAGATGCAAAGTATAAACTGAATTTAGTGTTGATATTTTAAGGCCATTGTTAAAATCAATGCATTTTATCGTATAATGGATGATGTGATCGATTCGATAACCCCATGCGATAAAGTTGGTATCACCATAAGATATATATATATATATATATATATACAATGAGCTCACTAAGCAGCTACTTTTAAGTTCCATATATTTATGAAATGTCGGTCCGTTTGTTCAATAAACTATGGAATACTGTTGTCAGTAGGTTAGATAGGGATATCCCGATTTGCCGCTGCAAATCATTTAGCAGTAATATGCTAAATGGATCGGTTCTTTCAAACACTAAGGTTACTTCCCTCTGTGTCATTACGTCATAAAAGTTATTATTTTAATAATTAAATTATATTATTAAGAAATTATTACCCTCGTATATTTTCGTATCGTAAGTATCAAATATAAGAGGTACAAGGATATGCATTTGATCGCCACAGACTCGCATAAGATAATTGTATTCCTAATATGCGATATAAACACACTCATGATCAGATAACAATCTCCATATATGTGTTATTGTCAATGTAGGCATTTTAGCTAATGATTCATTATCAACAAAATACGATTTATTTAAGAAATAAGTGGGAGTAGGTGTTGTTTATCGTACAATAAAACATATGAAGGGAGAATAACCCACTTTTTTAAAGATATCAACATTATGTACAAGCTCTTTAAGGATGTTGATA